GTGCTGTTTTGGACTCGGCCAAAATCGCTTAGGCGGTTACAGCGCCAAATAAGAAGAAGAAGAAGAATCGTATCTGTAAACAAATTAAAGAATCACACGTTTCATGTCTTCCTTGATTAAAAAATTAAATTTAAATTTTGCCTTTTTTTTGCCTTTTTCTGCCAACCCGCATGTACAAATCTGTACAAAAGTACCAATCATGTGACACTGAATTACAATCAACAAAATTTCACAAACTTTCGATATTTTTTAATTAGTATGTAGTTTTGCAGCCCATTGAATTCTAGTAGAATAAAGTACAAGGCAAATGGCTAAAAATTATGGTAGATTTTTGAGATTTTTAAAAAAGCTCGAAATTTTTAAGAAAGGTTTGAATATTTCAACATATTTACATTATACTAGAGGTATGTATATAACAAAATTAAAAAATAAATGCCTTTTCACCCTCTTTTCAAAGCTCATTTTGCCTATTTTGAAGTTTTTAGTGCCTTAAAATCAGTGTTGCCAACTTTTGATTTTCAAAAAGCTCCAAAAACTTGGAAAAAAGCGTTTTACCACACTAAAAGCACCAAATTTTTTGAATCAAAGCATGCTTTTTTTCATAACTGTTTGTATTTAACAAAGGTAAAAATATTAATAATATTTACAAGAATAAATCAATACACAAAACTTTTTGGCGTTCTTGGCACTTTGAGCTTAGGATATCTCAAAATTCTAGTGCTAGAGCAATTGTGCGGCCAAATTTGGATTCAGCACCAAGAAAGGATATCTTTTACTCAGGTTGTAAAAATCAAAATTTGTATAAATAATTAGTAAAGAATAAAAGAATTACTTAACGTACCTGCGTACTAGGATTTTCAACGCGAATAGAATTCAACAAGGTGGGTTTGCAAATTCAGCTTTTTATCAATCATGGTTGTATCTTAGGGCATTTAAATTTGTAGATACTTGTAAATTCCGTGCTGTCACAGCTTTAAATATTTCAAATTATTTCAGATTTTAACTACGTATCTCGAAGAAATTTTAGTTCAGAGAAAAGGCACTAGGCACTAAATAATTTTTTAATAATTAAAATTTTTTTTGCCGTTTTAATTTTTAAAAAGCACTAAATCTAGTGCTTAAAGCACCAAGTTGGCCACCATATATCATATGTATATGTACACGTATCTGTTTTTAACAAACCTTGCAGTGGACTTATTTAATTTGCAAAAGCCAAAAAAAAACATTTCCTTATTAAATACATTCAAGATTTGTATGGCTCACTTAATTTCAAACGTTTTTTCTTTTGTTTTGAAAAATTATAAAAATTAAATTGAGCGAAAACAAAAAGCAAAGCCAAATAAAAGTAAAAGAATCAACATTGAACTGCGTCAAAATGAAAATAAGGGAGCACGAATTTTCATGTGAAGCAAAACTCTCTGGGAAGACAATGTGATCATTGTGCCCATGATACAAAAAAAGGTAGTTTCACTTTGAAATTTTTTTACATAAACTGTACTTATGACGTTTATACTTTTCGTAAATTGCTCGAGTATTACTGCCACCTTAACAAATTATTGTTTTGGAAATTGTATTATTTTTTAAAGGAATTTTTTATGCATTAAAAAATAACAACACGCAAGGTAAATTTACTTAATGCATCGTATTAGCATAGCTGTTAATAAGTGTGTAGTAACAAATAGATGATCTATGTGCATTACGCAATGTAATAGGAGTATTTTACTTGCCTTCCGTTTTATAATTAATTTTAGAAATAAACCACTAAAAGCTCGCTATAAAATGATGCGCAAAATATATTCCTTGAAACAATTTTTGAAATAATTTTTTTAAGTAAAAAACCACTTTTTTTAATTCCTTCAAAGAATATGGTAGCTTCCATTTAAAAGAAAACGTCAAAAGCACGGTTTACGTCAAATGGGAGCAATGGCGGGTAAGAAGAAGAAGTGAAACTACCTTTAAATCTGTGTTCATATGGAAAAGTAGCTTATGTCGAAAGGCTGGCTTTAGTATAATGCGGCATTCCCTTTACTCTTTAAACGGCAAGGAATTTTTTGANTAGTTCCGATACTAGCAAGTCAATATTCTTATTAAGTCTCATCAAAAAATTCCTTGCCGTTTAAAGAGTAAAGGGAATGCCGCATTATACTAAAGCCAGCCTTTCGACATAAGCTACTTTTCCATACGAACACAGAAATATTTGTATCATGCATTGTACCATGCATGCCTTCATGGTACAATTATTAAAGGTATTGTCTTCCCAGAGAGTTTTGCTTCACATCGAAATTCGTGTTACCTTATTTTCATTTTGACGCATTTCAATGTTGATTCTTTTACTTTTAGCTGGCTTTGCTTTTGGTTTTCTCTCAATTGAATTTTTATAATTTTCAAAAAACAAGGAAAAACGTTTGGAATAAATTGAGCTATAAAAATGTTTGATTTGTTTACTAAGCAAATGTTTATTTTTCGGCTTTTGCAAATTAAATAAGTTCTTTGCAAGAGGGTTTGTTTGAAAAAATACATGGACATATATACCCTGCAAGAACAGTGACCATCATTTGACAAATCATTTGACTGGCAAGGCTGATAGAGATTTCTGTCACTGGCTACCTACAAGTTTCTATCACATTCTAAAGGGCAGTGTGAAAAATCTGATGTAAACATTTGTGTACCCTACAAGAATTGTGTGATGGAAACTTACACATTCTCATTTATCTTACTAACACATTTGCAAATTTTGCGTTGGTTAAAAAGAGACCAATATATAAGGCCATAAGTTGGAGGAAGACGGAAGATCATATGTACACAAATGTTTACATCAGATTTTTCACACTGCCCTTTAGAATGTGATAGAAACTTGTAGGTAGCCAGTGACAGAAATCTCTATCAGCCTTGCCAGTCAAATGATTTGTCAAATGATGGTCACTGTTCTTGCAGGGTATATATGTCCATGTATTTTTTCAAACAAACCCTCTTGCAAAGAACTTATTTAATTTGCAAAAGCCGAAAAATAAACATTTGCTTAGTAAACAAATCAAACATTTTTATAGCTCAATTTATTCCAAACGTTTTTCCTTGTTTTTTGAAAATTATAAAAATTCAATTGAGAGAAAACCAAAAGCAAAGCCAGCTAAAAGTAAAAGAATCAACATTGAAATGCGTCAAAATGAAAATAAGGTAACACGAATTTCGATGTGAAGCAAAACTCTCTGGGAAGACAATACCTTTAATAATTGTACCATGAAGGCATGCATGGTACAATGCATGATACAAATATTTCTGTGTTCGTATGGAAAAGTAGCTTATGTCGAAAGGCTGGCTTTAGTATAAATCGGCATTCGCAGCATACGATTGCGAATGACTCACTGGCGCTGAGCTGTTGTAGAACTTTCGGCAAATAAACGTGCAAGAAGTAGTTCCGATACTAGCAAGTCAATATTCTTATTAAGTCTCATCAAAAAATTCCTTGCCGTTTAAAGAGTAAAGGGAATGCCGCATTATACTAAAGCCAGCCTTTCGACATAAGCTACTTTTCCATATGAACACAGATTTAAAGGTAGTTTCACTTCTTCTTCTTACCCGCCATTGCTCCCATTTGACGTAAACCGTGCTTTTGACGTTTTCTTTTTCACAATTGCTCTAGCACTAGAATTTTGAGATATCCTAAGCTCAAAGTGCCAAGAACGCCAAAAAGTTTTGTGTATTGATTTATTCTTGTAAATATTATTAATATTTTTACCTTTGTTAAATACAAACAGTTATGAAAAAAAGCATGCTTTGATTCAAAAAATTTGGTGCTTTTAGTGTGGTAAAACGCTTTTTTCCAAGTTTTTGGAGCTTTTTGAAAATCAAAAGTTGGCAACACTGATTTTAAGGCACTAAAAACTTCAAAATAGGCAAAATGAGCTTTGAAAAGAGGGTGAAAAGGCATTTATTTTTTAATTTTGTTATATACATACCTCTAGTATAATGTAAATATGTTGAAATATTCAAACCTTTCTTAAAAATTTCGAGCTTTTTTAAAAATCTCAAAAATCTACCATAATTTTTAGCCATTTGCCTTGTACTTTATTCTACTAGAATTCAATGGGCTGCAAAACTACATACTAATTAAAAAATATCGAAAGTTTGTGAAATTTTGTTGATTGTAATTCAGTGTCACATGATTGGTACTTTTGTACAGATTTGTACATGCGGGTTGGCAGAAAAAGGCAAAAAAAAGGCAAAATTTAAATTTAATTTTTTAATCAAGGAAGACATGAAACGTGTGATTCTTTAATTTGTTTACAGATACGAT